AACTTGATCTACACATACGTGCGGACTCGTATCCTCAAAATGGGCGCTGAAGTCCGCATAGTTCTCACGTAGGGGCACGTGAAAGTTTTTTTGGCGGGAAGGCGTTTTCGAAAACGGCCCATTCTAGGAGAATGGAACTTCACAGAGTTGTTTATTGGCCGCGTCTAGTCCAAAGATTTCAAAATCAGCCTTCACGCGCCCTCAGGATTCACATACGCACACGTCAAATTTTAAACTGGTATTATGCCAACCGCAGATTTGAGGTGATCATTAAGCTGCAGAGAGCTGCAATCCTGCAACTTCTCTTGTCGCCCACTGTTGTGTCCGTGAAAGTAAATTGCTTGTCAGCCCTTCTGCATCGCACGTACGAACACGTGAAAATTCCACGCATGCGCTTTTGTAACTGTAGAATTTAGCCAGCCAGAGGCCCTGAACTTTCTGAGCATAACCGATGGTAGCCTTTGAACAAATGCACGCAAGAACGACTTACACATCACTTTCACGTCTCACGCACGTTTCATGTGTGCACACGTGAAATTCGACGTAACTCCGCATCCAGAGCAGCTAGAGTGCTGAAACTTTCTGAACGTTACCCAGGGCAGAGTTTGACCAACCGCGGGCGAAGAAAGCACTCACGTTGCCAATCAGGTGCGAACACGTAAAATTTGACGTAACTCTGTAACCAGAGCAGCTTGAGCACTGAAACTTTTTGAGCACTACCTAACGCCGTGTTTAAGTAACCGCAAGCGAAGAAAGCACTCACTTTGCCACACGTACGAACACGTGGAATTTGATGTGACTCCGCAACCGAAGCATCCAGAGCGTTGAATTTTTTGGGCGTGGGTTGGGAGTCATTATAATAATTTCTAACAGTCGTGGTGGCCAGTCACAATTCTTTTAGCTAGAAGTATCTGTCGGGAAGAGCGTGCCACCGGAGAAAAGAAACTGCGGGGGAGAACTGTGCAAAAAACGCATCCTCGAACTGGCAGCCGGTACGCTTTCAACTAAGTCGCTGCCCTTGTTTGGGTGAATTCACAACGAGCGAGTTGCTGAGGGTCCATGACAGTCGACTGAATCCGGTAGAGTTTTGTAGGCATTATACGAGCGTGGGATGTCATCGACAAAGGAATTCGAACGCAAATACTGAAGCCGATTGTGGCAGCTGTGCTGCGTTTTCTTGCTGGCTGCAGGAGAAATTGTCTGAAGAAAACTTGAGGAGGGATTCGGATGCACAAAATGTCAGAAAAAGAGAAACGTTAAGAACATCCAGCTGTTGCCAAAATGTCGACGAACCGCGGCCCCTCAACTACCAAGAACATCTTGGAGCTACTACGGGCAGAGCTGAGCAAAACGGAGCGTGGAGACAGGGAAGAAGCAGCGATTTTCGAAGTTGCTAGTGGAATGGCTTTTCTCAGTGCTCTAATGAGTGACTATCCACCTGCAGTGCTTCCATTAGGCCAAACGGAGCCGTTGCTTCACTCAGTCAATATCTGCCAAATTGGTACTAGGGGCGATGGGAAGCTGTCTCTGCAACACATCGTAACAGCCCTGCAAATTTCCGGTATCGAAGTTCACGGGCAGAAAACATCTGAAGCGATGCCAGCTTATCGGCATGGTTGCTCAACAGGAAGTTGGGCCCGTCAAATACAGGTACTGCCCAGCCTCCTCCTAGACGAATGCCATCAGCAACCTCCTGTTTTGACTGCCACTTACGCCCAGCTGTCCAAAATTCTGCACTCGCCATTGAGCAGTGTGGAGGACTGGACGAATGCTTCAATTGTGTGCGCACACCCGGCTTTCAAAGACTTTAGCAGTCTGGTATTTTTGGCGAACCGGCTGACAGAGCAGACCGGTTCCTGGATGGAAGATGCGGCTCTGATTCGAGCTTTACTAATCGCCGATGCGTGTGTTACACCAAAACATCTGGTAGCTGACCCTATATGGGCAAAGGTGGCATGCGACGGTGTTGTAGTATCGATAGAACAGGAACCAGTGGCTGCGGATCCAGGCCCATTTAACGACGTTTCCATCAGCATTTGCGCTGTCCCAATGGACACATGGGTTGGCATTCGCACCGGCGCTTACTTGTGTCCGGAAGGTTGGGGACCAAATTCATGGGGCGGCGAAGTCGCCGTTGTCCCCGTTGAAACATGCTGCCTTGATGACCCTGCAACCTGGCTGTATGTTCTGTCATTTGTGACAACTCGGCTGTGGAACGGATTACACTTGTACAAGGCCATAATAAAACCCAACAAGGAGCTAAGCAGTGCGAGCACAACTACGGAACACATTGTTGTGAAATTCAAGCCGTTAGCCACGAATGTTGTCGTGGATGGACCAACACGCATTTTGTTGGTGCTTACTAACCTGACGTCTCAACTTAACTCGAAAGAAACACGCATCACCGATGTTAAAATACCAATATGGCGGCCGTCAAAAGAGGCAATGTTCCCTGCTGATGTGACCGAAATCCTGAGACAACAGGCAGGCACTCGAGCAGCCACCAATAATGTCGAGGGCTTATGGCGTTTTGCATGGCAATACCTTATGCGCTATACTGCTACGGAGGCGAGCGTACAAAGAGCTATATATCTTGTTGCTGAGACCGTCAGGAATCTCGATCTCGGCTTTGCATCCAATCCAGCTAAGGCGTTCCCAGTTTATTCAATTCACTTGAAGTCAGGTTTTTTGCCAAACTTGCCTGACGTTAATTTCGATGTCAAAAACTGGGAGGACCCTAATATGAACATTCAAGAAGCAATTACAAATATTAATGCTCACAACGTCTACCCGCATGGCTTT